ACTGTATAGGGCCCTGACCCCGTGGGCAAAACCAACACCGGTGCCGTAGTCAGAGCTGCTTGAGCTTCTGAAAGCTCACCTCACACTCATCCGACCACCTGAACTGGGCACCCTTTGGGTCAACTGGGTCATCGGGGCTGCAATGACTGAAACCCCTCCATGAACCGACGATAGTAGCCTGCCAACCCCAGAAACTCCGAATCTCTGTAGCTGATGCTGGCCTAGGCCAGTTCTTGACTGCCTCTATCTTCTTTGGGTCCACCTGAATACCCTCTGCCGATACAACATGACCCAGAAATGCCACTGAACCCAACCAGAATTCACACTTCGAGAACTTAGCATATAACTGACTATCCCTCAGAGTCTGAAGAACCACTCTAAGGTGCTGCTCGTGCTCCTCCTGGCTGCGGGAGTATATCAATATATCATCAATGAACACTATCACGAATGAATCCAAATAAGGCCTGAACACTCGGTTCATCAAATCCATGAAAGCTGCTGGGGCATTTGTCAATCCGAATGACATAACCAAGAACTCATAATGCCCGCACCGAGTGCGGAAAGCTGTCTTAGGGACATCGGATGCCCTAATCCTCAACTGATGGTAGCCAGATCGCAAGTCAATCTTGGAAAATACCCTGGCACCCTGAAGCTGGTCGAACAAATCATCAATCCTCGGCAGTGGATACTTATTCTTGATCGTTACCTTGTTCAACTGCCGGTAATCAATACACATTCTCATTGACCCATCCTTTTTCTTGACAAATAACACCGGCGCACCCCAAGGTGAGACACTGGGTCTAATGAAACCCTTCTCAAGCAAATCCTGTAACTGTTCCTTTAACTCTTTCAACTCTGGCAGGGCCATGCAATATGGCGGGATAGAAATGGGCTGAGTGCCCGGAACCAGATCAATGCAGAAATCAATATCCCTGTCGGGTGGCATACCCGACAGGTCTAAAGGAAAAACATCAGGGAACTCACAAACAACGGGCACAGAATCAATAGAGGGAACCTCAGCACTGGAATCACGAACATAGGCTAAATAGGACATAGGCTAAATAGGCCAAACACCCCTTCTCGACCATACGCGGAGCCTTCACATATGATATAACACTGCGGGTAGAATGACCAGGAGTCCCTCTCCACTCTAAACAAGGCATGCCTGGTAAAGCTAAGGTCAAAGTCTTAGCATGGCAGTCCAAGATAGCGTGATACGGGGATAACCAATCCATCCCCAATATAACATCGAAGTCGACCATGTCTAAAAGCAACAAATCAACACGGGTCTCGAGACCTCCAATCACCACAACACATGATCGATGGACTCGATCAACCACGATAAAATCACCCACCGGTGTAGACACATAAACAGGAATACCCAATGCATCACTAGGCATGATCAAATACTGGGCAAAATAGGATGACACATACGAATACGTAGACCCCGGATAAAACAACACTGAAGCATCTCTATCACAAACCAGAATAGTACCTGTAATGACTGCATCTGAAGACTCCGCCTCTGGCATGGCTGGAAGAGCATAACATCGGGGCTGGGCCCCACCACCCTGAACTGCCTCTCTGGGACGGCCTGCTGCTGGCTGGCCTCCACCTCTAGCGGACTGAGCTCCACCTCTAGGACCTCTACCTCCACCTCTAGCACCTCTACCCCCGCCTCTAGCTGGCTGGGCGATCTATGGAACATCTGGTGCCTGAATCATAGGACGGGGTCCCTGCTGCTGTGGAGAACTGCTCGAAGCTCGAGGGCAATACCTAGCAATATGCCTCGTGTCGCCACAGTAAAACAAGCCCTCAGCGAACGGCCCTGGAAACTCTGAAGCGGCGGTGCACTGATAGGTGCTGGTGGTGCACTGTGAGGCTGCTGATCGGAATAATGCGGCTGAGAACCACGACCACCTGAAATACCATGGGAGACCTGGAGCGCTGACTGGAAGGACCTAGGAGGATGACCCCTATCATACGAATCTCTGACTCCAGATGAGGCACCACTGAATCGGCCTGACTGACGGGGCCTCTTATCTGCCCTATGACCACCCCCTTGTGACAATACCATCTCAATCCTCCGGGCCACATTGGTTGCCTCCTGAAAGGATATCTCGCTCCCAGCCTCTCTAGCCATCTAGAGACGAATAGGTTGAATGAGTCCATCAATAAACCGTCTCACTCTCTCCCTCTCAGTGGGGAGTATAACAATAGCATGGTGGGCAAACTCAATAAACCTGGTCTCGTACTGGGTGACCGTCATGGATCCCTGATGGAGACGCTCGAACTGCCTCCGATAGGCCTCTCGCTATGTAATTGGGAGAAACTTCTCCAGAAATATATGCGTGAACTGCTCCCAGGTCAAGGCTGGAGATCCTGCTGGCCTAGCTAAACAATAATCCCTCCACCAAGTCTTGGCGGATCCAGACAACCGGAATGTAGCGAAATCAACCCCATTGGTTTCAACAATACCCATGTTCCGAAGAACCTCGTGGCAACTGTCCAAATAATCCTGAGGATCCTCGGTAGATGCACCGCTGAAGGTAGTAGTGAAGAGCTTAGTGAACCTATCCAACCTCCATAAAGCATCGGCAGACATAGCTGCCCTATCACCGGCCTGGGCTACCACACCCGGCTGAGCTGATCCAACTGGATGAACTGCTGGAGTCTGAATCGGGGGAACTCCCTGCTCTGGAGTACGAGTAGCAGGAGTCTGGGCCCCTACTCCAGCCTGAGAGACGGTTGGTGCTACAGGAAGCAAGCCCGCTCGGGTAACATTCTCCATGAGACCCACCAATCGGACCAGAGCGTCCTGAAGAACTGGGGTAGCAATAAACCCCTCGGGGACCTGAGCTGGGCCCACCGAAACTGCTGGGGCTGGGGTCGGAATCTCCTCGTCAAAGTCAACCTGAGGCTCCGCTACTGGTGCTGCTGCTCGGGGCTGAGCTCTGCCCCTACCACGGCCTCTAGCACGGCCTCATCCTCTGCCCCTAGCGGGAGCTGTCTGGGGCTCGGACTGCTGATCGGAAGATAAGGAAGCGCGTGTTCTCGCCATCTGCGAAACAACAGAGTAGAAGTTCAATTAGCGTTGAGAAACCAAACCGCACGACAAGAAAGAACAATGTGAAACTTTTCCTAACTCGGTAGCCTCTGGGGGATAAATACAGACGTCTCCGTACCGATCCCTCAGACTCTACTAAGCTTGTCCGTGAGTTGTGAGACCTATGCAACCTAGAGCTCTGATACCAACTTGTCACGACCCGAAATCCCCACCCTCGGGAGTCGTGATGGCGCCTACTCGTGGAAGCTAGGCAAGCCAAGAACAGTCGCAAACATCATCCTAACTCATTTTACCCATGATGAAACAATTTAAATTGTAGATGCATAAGCAATTAAAATACTGCGATTAATAAAAGATAGCGGGAGTTTGAACTGAAAATATAGCAGCGTCTAAACATCAACACAAGCCTCTACCCAGCACCTGGTGTCACAACGTTTCGCGGACCATCTAAGAATGCTAAATACAAAGTCTGAAACAAAATGATAAAACTCTGTCTCGGTACAAAGGAAACAGGGCAGAAAAGGGATAAAAGAGATGTCGGGCCTGCGGACGCCTGCAGGACTACCTCGGGATCTCGTGGACTGAAGGACTGCTCCCTGGCCTACTGCTGTGCACCGTAAGCTGCTCCGACACCTGGATATGTGCAAAAGAGCACAGAGTATAGCATCAGCACAACCGACCCCATGTGTTGGTAAGTGCCTGGCCAAACCCCGGCGAGGTAGTGACGAGGCTAGGACCAGACTCCAGATAAACCTATACATATATATATATATATATATACAATACAACGAAGAGGCAAACAGAAATAAACAGTTAAAACTGGGGAGGGAACATGCTTCAGGGGTAACAGATATAAATAGAATATCAGGAATAATAGAGGAGAAATCTACAGTCTAGCTTCTAACACGAAAATAAGAAATAAAGACAATTTTCATGTTCAGCTCATCTTGTTGCAGGCGTGCAACCCGATCCCATTTTATCAACTCGTGGTAGGCGTACCACCCGCTCCCATTTCATAAAATCTTGTGGTAGGCGTACCACCCGCTCCCATTTCAATCCATCACAACATAACAAAATAATCCCGGCTAGGGGACAAAATATCAAATCAAATATCCCGACAAGGGAGAGTCAGCTATAACTAATCTTATGCAACTTCTACTTGACCCAATTAATACCAACACTCAGTCATAACTAAAGTCCACGGAAATAAACTAAATCCTTGCTCAGTATCGAGAATCATCAATCAAGCTTTCATAGAATCCATTAGGAATACAAGAATTATCAATTTAAGACCCACGGTCATGCTCGACACCAACGTATAGATACTCGTCACCATGCCAATACGACGTACTCGACACAAAACAAATAGCAAATAAGACTCAACTCCTAATCCCTCAAGCTAAGGTTAGACCGAACACTTACCTCAAACTTCCACTCCCAAATCAATCCTCAACAACCGCTTTCCCTCTCGAATTCGGCTCCAAATCAATCAAATCTATACAATAATGACTTCAATACATCAATAAATGCTAAACAATACGAACCCAATGCCTAATTATAGCTTCTCCATCATTTTTCCCAAAAACTCAAAATTGACCCCGGGCCCGCTTGGTCAAAACACGAGGTTCGGACCAAATTCATATCCCCCATTCACCCACGAGCCCGAATATATAATTTGTTTCCAAGTTCGACCCCAAAATGAGGTCTAAATCAAGAGAATTCAAAAAGCCCAAACTCTACCCATTTCCCCCAATTGCTACCCTAAATTACATGTTTTAGGCTTAGGAATTTAATAGATATTGATGGAAAATGGAGAAAACGAGTTGAAATTTACTAACCCAAGAAGTGTTGGTGAAAGAGAGCTTCAATGGATGCCTAAGGACCTTGGAGAAGAAGGGTTTGGTGAAGTCTTGTAAAAATCCCGAAATGGTTCTGTTATGGGGTTTTAAAAATAACTGGGCAAAATTGCCCTTCGCGTTCGCGGAAGGAAGGTCGCGTTCGCGAAGGGTAGACTTGACAAACCATCGCGTTCGCGATAGGGAGACTGAGAATGCGAAGAGAAAGGCTGGGGGGGTCTAGGATTTGTTCTACGCAAACGCGTGGGCTATCACGCGAATGCGATGAAGGAATCTGGCAAACTACGCGAACACAGTCAAAGGTATGCGGTCGCGAAGAGGAAAAGAGGGATAAGCCCTCAGGGTCAAAATAACACTACGCGATCGTGAGGGGATTGATGCGAACGCGATGAAGGAACAACATAAAGCTTCGCGAATGCGGAAGAGGCATCGCGAACGCGAAAAACAGAGGGACCTGCAACTACTGAAGCCATTTTCTGCAATTTTCCTAAGTTTGAAACCACTCCGAAACACCTCCGAAACACTCCCGAGCCCTCGGGGCTCCTAACCAAACACATGCACTAACTCAAGAATATCCTACGAACTTAACCGTGCGATCAAATCGCCAAAATAACATCATAAACTTCGAATTAAGCCTCAAATCCTTGATTTCTTCCAAATTTTCATAAAATATCAAATTTCCATTTTAAGTCTGAAACACGTCAAACGACGTCCGTTTTCAACCAAACTTTACAGAAAGTGCTTAAATCATATATAAGACTTGTACCGGGCGCCGGAACCAAAATACGGGCCCGATACCATAGTCTTCTAATCAAATTTCATTTCCAATTTCCTTAGTTATTTCCATAAAATAATTTCACAATAAAATTCATTTCTTGGGCTTGGAACCTCGGAATTCGATTCCAGGCATACGCCCAAGTCCCATATTTTCCTACGGACCCTCCGGGTCCGTTTACCCAAAATATTGACCGAAGTCAAATTTATTCATTTTAATATCAAAATTTAGCATTTTTCTCACAGAATTAATATTTAAGTTTTCCGGCTACGCGCCCGAACTGCGCACGCAAATCGAGGCAACCCTAAATAAGTCTTTCAAGGCCTCGAAAGTACAAAATGGGTAAGGAAACAGGTGATGACTCTTTGGGTCATCACATCGCCCTACTTGCAAAATAATCTTCAATGAGGCTCTTGTAGGCTTTGAGGTTTGTTCCCCTCTCCCAAGTATTCTCTTCTGCATCACAGCCCTGCCATTTCACCAAGAACTCTTGGTGATCTTTTCTTGAGGCATGAATCACTCTGTCACCAAGGATAGCTTCAACACGCCTTTTCCTGGTTGAATTGGGACCTCGAATACTGGGTATTGAAAGCTGGCTCCTTGAAGGATCCTCCGTGTCTTCCTGAAAAGGTTTCAGGAAACTGACATGGAAGACAGGATGAATTTTCTACCAAGCTGGGGTATCCACCCGGTATGCAACTTTCCTAATGCGCATTTCAATGGATAAGGGTCCAATGTATTTTTGCAATAGGCGAGGGTCATGGACCCCCGCAAATAAGTACCGCTTTGGGATTTTGACCATCACTTTGTCTCCTACTTGATATTCAGCAAAGCGACGATTCTGATCAGCATGCCTCTTCATTCGCTTTTGAGCTTTGACAAGATAGCTCCGCACTATCTCCAGATTCCGCTTCCACTCTTTTGAGAGCTAGCAGCTCGAGGAGACTTAGCCATGTTTGGTGCATTCACAGTGTGTGTGGGAGTAGCGGTTGATGTCCGGTAACAATTTCAAAAGCGCTTTTGTTCGTACTAGAGCTCTTTTGCAAATTGAAACACAGTTGAGTAGCATCCAGAAGCTTCACCCAATTCTTCTGCGATCCGGTTACAAAGTGGCGGAGATATTCCTCCAACATACCATTGAACCGCTCCGTCTGGCCATCAGATTGCGGATGAAAACTTGAGCTGTGACTCAATTTTGACCCCAGGCACTTAAAGAGTTAGGTCCAAAAGTTGCTAGTGAAGCGTGAGTCGCGATCACTAACAATGTCTTTGGGCAGGCCCCAATATTTGACGACATGAGAGAAGAAGATTCGAGCTGTATCTTCTGCTGATATACATTGTGGGGCTGCAATAAAGGTAGCATACTTGGAAAATCGGTCCACCACAACCAAGATAGTTGTGAGAACTCCGACCTTGGGCAATCCGGTGATGAAATCCAGGGAAACACTTTCCCAAGGTCTCTTTGGGACAGCTAGTGGTTCCAAGAGTCCCGCTTGTGTCAAGCGGTCCGACTTGTCCTTCTGGCATACTAGACAAGTCTTCACATACTGAGCGACATCATCGGCCATTTGAGGCCAATAATCGGCACGGCGAAGTAATGCCATGGTGCGTTCTTCACCGGGATGGCCGGCCCACAGAGTATCATGATATTCCGCTAGAAGTGTCCTCCGCAAATCTCCTCCTTTAGGAACATAAAGTCGGTTCCCTTTCACTTTCAGAAAACCATCTTCCATGTAGAACTGGCGAGTCTTGCCCTGTCCTACCAAATCAACCAAATACTAAGCAGCAGGATCCTTGATGAGTAGATCCTGTATCTGGTCCTTGATGGATGTGGCTACTTCGCTCCCCCTTAGGGTGGCGAGTAGGCACACCAATTCTAGATCAGCTCTCCGACTGAGCGCATCAGCAACATGATTGGTCTTTCCACTGCGGTACTCCAGGTTGAAGTGAAATTCAGCTAGGAGTTCCTGCCACCTGGCCTGTCGACCATTCAGCTTCGGTTGGGTCATGAAATGGCTGACAGCTGTATTGTCTGTCTTGACCACAAACGGGGTTCCTAATAGATAGTGCCTCCAAAGGCGCAAGTAGTGGACGACAGCCAATAATTCTTTCTCATGGGCGGTATAGCGCCGCTCTGCATCCTTCAGCTTCCGACTCTCGTACGCTACAGGGTGCCCTTCTTGTAGCAAGACTCCACCGAGGGCATAGTTAGATGCATCCGTTTGTACCTCGAACGGCTTGGCCAAATCAGGGAGGGCTAAGACGGGGCTACTAGACATAGCCGTTTTTAATGCGTTGAAGGCCTCCGCTCTCCTTGGTCCCCAATCCCAAGGTGTGACCTTCTTGAGGAGTTCTGTCAATGGCACAGCGATAAGGGAGTAGTTCTTCACAAACCGCCGGTAGAAGTTGCATAGGCCAAGGAACGCCCTCAAGGCGTGGACATCCTTAGGCGGCGGCCAATCTGTGATGGCCTGAATTTTCTGTTGGTCCATATTGATGCGACTTTCCTCGATGACATGTCCGAGGAAGTCAATTTGTTTCTGAGCAAAGGAGCACTTGGATAACTTTGCATATAGTTCATGCTCCCGTAATCGAGCTAGGACCTAACCGCAAGTGCACTAGGTGTTCTTCCAATGTCTGGCTATATACCACAATGTCATCTAAGTAGACCACCACAAATTCGTCGATTTACTCACGGAAGACTTGGTTCATGAGAGTGCAAAAGGTAGTTGGGGCGTTGGTCAAGCCTAACGGCATGACCAGGAAGTCGTACGACCCATATCTTGTCACATATGTCATCTTGTGTTCATCACCCTCTGCAATCCGAACTTGCCAATAACCTGTCTTCAGATATCTTGGTGAACACCATCGCGCCACCCAATCTATCAAACAAATCTGTCATTAGAGGAATAGGGTACTTGTTCTTCACGGTGATTTTGTTTAGAGCTCGATAATCCACATAGAGTCGCAGGCTGCCATCATGTTTCTTTTGGAATAGAACAGGGGACCCATATGGGGACTTGGAGGGTACAATGATCCCTGTATCTAGAATTTTTGTCAATTGTGTCCGAAGCTTGGTGAGTTTGGGTTGTTACATTCTGTAAGGCACCCGGGCAGGTGGCTTTGCGCCCGGCACCAACTCAATTTCATGGTCCACAGTGTGCCTAGGCGGGAGCCGCTTTGGCATGTCTTGTGGCATGACATCTTCAAACTCCAGTAGTAACTCCTTCACGGGTTCAAGAATGGGACCCGAGGAGCGTTCTATATCTTCAATGCAAAAAGTTGCCAGGAACGTAGGTTCATTCCTTTTGACCCCCTTCTTCAACTGCAAGGCCGAGATGTTCTCAACGGCCATCTTCATGGGCAGGCACGGGATAATGCAGGGCTTGGTCCTATTGGTTCCCATCATCAGTAGCATGTCTGCAAATGATACAGGCATGGTGTTGGTTTGCCTTAGGAATTCTAACCCAACAATCAGCTCGAAGTCATCTATGATCACCACTCGCAGGTTGAATTTTCCTTCGTAAGGGCCAAGCTTCACCGGTACTTCTTTAGCTATTCCGCTCACTGGCTGGGGAGGTGAGTTGATAGCCTTGACACTACAACTAGTCCAAGGCGCTCCACCTGAGTCGAGGCTAAGTAGTTGTGGGTAGCACCCATGTCTATCATAGCCCGAATGGGCTTGCCATTCACCTTCATCTCAACGAACATTAAAGTCCTCTCTTGTTTAAGAGGAGTCTCTTCATTCGCCTTCTTTTTCCTTTCTTGGTGACGGGACATGGGTCCTTCTTCTTATGAATACCAGCACTGGTCTCCGCTAATGCCTCAGAAATGGAACCAACAATTGCATTGGAGGCACCTACTGGCTCAGTCTAGTCCGCATCGTCTGAGTCGTCATCAGTCCCATCATCAATAGCCTGATGGGCGTTCATCTGTGCATGTGGGAACTCATTGTTCCAATGTGGTCCGCCACAATGACGGCATCCTGAAGGAGGCTTTCTCCCCCGGTCATTGTTGTTTGACGCAGCATTGTTGCTGCCGGAGGAACGAGCTCTAGATTTGTTTGAGTTTCGATCTCCCCCACTTTTGCTAGGGCCACCATTGCTAGACTGGCCCCCTTTGAAACCCGCTCGGGCAGGCGGTTGAGGCCTGTCCTTCCGAGCTTCCATTTGATAGTCCCCAAGGCATTCAGCTGCTTGGATCGCCTTGAGAAGGGTATCTACCCTCTGTCTTTGTAGCTCCACACTGGCATAAGGTTTCAACCCTTCCAGGAAGGTGAAGAGCTTGTCTTTGTCCCCCATGTCGCGTATGGTTAGCATGTGCGCGGAGAATTCCCGCACGTAGTCCCGCACTGATTTTGTCTGTCGGAGCTCACGTAGTTTTCTCCTTGCATTGTATTCAACATTTTCGGGGAAGAACTGTAGGCGTATGGCTGCCTTTACTTCTGCCCATGTCTCGAGAGTATCTTCACCGGCTTTGATGGCTTCGTACTTCACCCACCTCCAGAGTTTAGCGTCGCCCTGAAGATATATGGCAGCAGTTGCTACCTTCTTAGCTTCCTCCAGGCCCCCAACAGCATCAAAATACTGTTCCACGTCAAAGATGAAGTTCTCCACTTCCTTGGCATTCCTAGCTCCACTGTATGACTTTGGCTCAGGAATTTTCAGTTTCTGTGTCGCGGAAGCGGGGTTCATAGCG